TGGTAGACGAAAAGCTAAATTATAAATGCCAACAGGTTTGAGATTAATAATCAGCCAGGATAACAGAAAACCCACAGTACAGTTTTATTTATCTACAAAATAACAGACTGCATGCATGCAAACTGCACTGTTTGTGTTGATTTAAGTAAATTATTAGGGTAATGAAATACCAAACCAAACTAAGCACGAACGTAAAGTGGTTATTGACGAAATGGGAGTTCACAGGGTTCACACACTGAGAAGAAGTGTTTTCAGTAACCAGCCCAATGGATTGTTCTACATGTGGTGTGACAAGCGAAAAACACAGAGTGGAGTGAATGAAAACTTGAGCTATTATAATCTTGGTCATCTAGTCAGCTGATGAGCAGAGATTAGTAAAAAAACAGACAAACAATCCGGCTCCATTGTTTAGTCTCTCGATATAAACAGCTCGGGCCATTATATAAAGGCTCCGGATAGCAACCAGTGATGAGCTGCCCTGTAAAACACAGGAAACACTGTGAAAAGGGATCTGTTCCACATGATGTGTGCATATGTGTGTGCGTGCAGAGGGAGTACAGACTGAAAGAAGAAATGCAAAAGGTCTGTAAAGGAAGTTATTATGTTAATTATGTGTATCCACATATGTGGACTTGATATTTACCCAGATATGAACCTAAATAAACTGCCGCTGTACTAACAATGATACTCAAAGTACTGCATCTGTCTTGCAGGTTGGTTAATACAAAGAGTATTTCTTATTTTAGGATATTATCGTGTTTCTGCTGTTCTAACATAGCATAAAAGAGAAGCTGCTAATCAAGCCCATCTGAGTTTCTTTCCCACCACTGAGTTGGTCGGTCTATGCATGCTTCCCAGACTGTTTTGTTATATTTATGTACTCTTGTTACAGTATATGAAAACACTGTATACATGAAAGACCAGTTAGCCATCTACAATGCAAGTTTGACAGTAGAATGCGTCCGAGCATGCTAAAACACCAACAGAAAAATTTCCAAATGAAAGAAACAAACAAACAAAGCCTTGCTAGGCAATGCAAAGTGACTCCCAACACATGGAGGCAAAGTCTCCTGTTTGAGTTTTGCCCTCGCTGCAATAAATCCTGCAACACATTCGGAGAACTTTTTGATGTTTTGTGATCTTACTGGTAAATGACAGATACAGTGTGAAACAACCCTTGCAAGCATTCCTAAAGCGACATACATGAGCTTTTCCACTTAAAAGAGCAGAAAAAGTTCATATTAGGTGGCAGGTAGGGTGAATGGCACAAACACATTAAAGTTAAGTCTGAACTAGGAGCATTTTATGGTTGAAGTTACAAAAAGATCCTACTTTGTGTAAAATATACCCTTTCACTGTGTTCATCATGTTAGAATTCATTGGCAACCTCTGAGGGTAAAAATATGAAAGTCTGTTTCCAACACTAAAAAAAAGAAAAGAAATAAAAAGTCTAAATTTTCAGTTATGTGTCTCAAAATTTCAACTTATTTTTTACTTTTTTTTAGTGGCAGAAACAACTTTCCATGAATAATAACAATCGTATAGCATCCTTAGAGAAACCCAAGGTCAATTTACACACAAAAGACAAAGGCCTCAATAAATACATTACATTTCAACTTCCATAAAAAACAAACAAACAGCCCAAATAAACATGCCAAAACAGCCCTGTAGTTCCCTGAAAGGCCACAGAGCAAACTAACTAAAAATGCGAGTCAATCGAGGTGTTAAAATGTTGAACTTTACAGCAGGACTTTAAAGCTAGAGCTTTCTTAAAAAGCTTGCACTAACTACCTATCTGAGAGTGTTCTCGTTTATTGAATTACAAAACAAGAGACAAGGCCAGCTGAGGTAACATGTACAGCCAACAAAATAGGTTTCATAACAGTGTAAGCAGTATTTCTTTAACATAACGTGCACTTGTTACAAACGTGCAGCTCCAACATGACTAATTACGGTTCATGCACTAATGAAACGTGCTAGTGGGGACACCTCTTATGGTTTATCTTAACCTTAGCTCTACTCTGTTTTTGGCGATGAGCTTTGCCCTAAAACTCCTGTCAGGTTAATTATACTCTGTTATGTCGAATGCTGCTAATGGAGAAAAGCATTATGTGCGAGGAACAGAACAATCCTGCTGGGGGAACGTGCAGGCCTGCTAACGCCTGGGTTGGTCAATTGATGAGTGCTTTTATTCAGGGATTATATTTCGATGCTACGTTGACCTTCTCTGAATGTCACTGGACATCTCCTGTCTAATACTGACTGTGCACATGCTGACCCTGCAGCAGCTCACATTAGATCAATACGTCCTCGGCTCGTGTTGTGACTCTCGGTGCAGGGGAGAGCTTCTACTTCTATAAAAGGTAATAAATGTCCCCAGAAGGACGGTGCAAAAGAGGGACATCCTCCAAAGAGGATAGTGACATTATAGTTTAAGGTATGCAGTCAACAAAAGATCCTCTCAAAAACTATGTGTGTGCGCTACTAAACACAATGCCTGCTGATAGTAGGCTGACACATGGGCATGTGACCATGTCCATAGCATGGATCAACAAAGACAAGCTAAAGACGCACAATAAAACTGAAGCCGTAAAAGAAGCAGTGACAATGCTGCACAACATGACATAAAAAGGTGTGTCTTACTTCCTGACACACCTGTAATCCCACAAAAGGTGTAATTTCTGATAAGAAAGCCACAACACGCAAAGTTGCAGATAACAACAGCCGATCACTTCCTTCCAGTAACTGGACAATAAAAACCTCTATGAGGCCACATAGCCGAGTGGTTCACATTAAAAAAAACAATACAAAAAAGGAGATTTTGTACCGTGCAGAATAAAGTTATTACTGCAACAAAAAGCCAATTAGAGAAAGATGTGGATTAAAAAACCTTGGTCTGTTACTGGTGATTTTATTTGACTATATTCCTATTTAGATACAAACATATGGACTGCGATGGCAAATCTGCAGCTGTCAGACGTTTTGAGACAGTCTAATTCAGTCCAAAAGAAAAAATAAAATAAAACCAAAAGATAAATTAAAATCTGGCAACCAAAGGTTCATACATTAAAACCACCTGATGTTTATTGTGAAATACTGTGGCTCTTTGAGTGTTCCCCTAACCGATCCTGAGCCGTTTTTTTGCCATGCGGTGGCGTCTATTTTCACTTTTGTAAAGTCTTTGCCACTAAAACAAATCTACTGTTATTGCATTTAGAAGCTTATATAGGCCGGTTTTAATGACTGCAAGAACTTTAACTGATCTTTTTGCCCATTTTAGTGTAAAATAATGAATCATAAAAACATAAAAAGGCCTCTTTTGCCAATTGATGGTCAATCAGCCACGGTTCTTTTGAGTGCTTTTTCCCATCACACCATGAGAACGCTGTTTATCAGAAACACATGACTCAGAACAAGGCCATAAAGATACAGTTAGCACAGATGTTAATACAGGAAATGCAGAGTTTCAGAAGACAGGCAAGACAGCAAAGCGTGGTTTGATTTCTTGGTTGCATCTAACACCCCACCACCACCCCAAATGTGTGTCTGGCAACATATGACAAGCAGAGACAAAGGCTTAGTCGCAGTCCCTGCTTCTTTCAAACCCTGGGACCGGGAACAGACACACATACGCTGGCTTCGTAGAGCAGAGTACGGCCGGCAGGCATGAATGGGGACGCGCTGAAGGTTAGAAGGCTTTTATGAATGAGCCGGCGTCACGCCACCGCAGCGCAAACATCCCCTCCGGTGCCCTTCGCCCTTCCACCCCCCTCAACAGATTTGCAAGGCAGGCATTCCCATCGAGCACAGCCCCGTGTAGACTGACAGAGACAGACGCTGACGATACAGCTAGGCTAACAGAGCTGTAAAAATGCAAACAGGAGCCAGTAAATTAAATAGTTTGGCAGGCCTGCTCGTATGTCTGTACATATGGTTTTTTTCCTGACAAGGCTGCAGGATTGAAAAAGGAACAGGCTATATAATCTATATTTGTTTTGGCGCTCTGCAGCCTACACAGTGTAAAGGTAGTACAATGCATATTAATCTGCTGTTAAGCAAATTCTAAGCGTTAACCGCTTGAGTACAGGCCCATCGGTTCGCACACGAACGTATCTGTGGGCCTAGGCAGTGAACAGCTTTGTAGAAGCTATAGTTCGCAGAAGAAAAAGCACGATCCTAGCGTGTGCATGTCAAACACAACTTAGCCAGTTTCCAGTTTAGGAAAAACGGACCAGTCTCTCTTCATTCTTTTTCTTTTTTTAAGGCTGAGTCGACGTTTACGATCGCTATTTTTTATGAATGGAGCGTGGTAGGCTATGCAAATGAGGGCGATTGAGAAAGAGATGGCGGATGAGGCATATCGGATATCTCACATCCTGTGAGACTTCCCCTTCGGTTAGAGACAAACACACAGATGTGACTAAAAACAAAGCGAAAATGTCCTTGCAATCGCCGCTCAGTGTTTTTTTTTTTTTTTTCTTGTTTGTTTCTTCTGAGCTACGCACAAACAAAAGACTCGCGAGCTGGCCGCCGAGCGTGTATTTATAAAAGGTGTAACTTCTGGGCGTGCTGGAGTTTCTAAGTTACGCTGCAACAGGGGCCTGCTCTCTCGCTTCAGATCCTTTCAGAAAATGTTTCCGACCCACCCACGCTTATTCCCCTCCTCCTCCTCCCACTCCCCTCTCCTTTCTCTCTTGCCTTCCCAAGCCTGGAGTCTACACCGAGGTGGGGGCCCTAAAAACCCTCTTCGACAGCACTGTCAATGCATTACTTCACAGCAGCATCAAACAGCAAATCCAACCAATTGAGCGTAATAATACTAATACTAATAATAATAATAATAAAAAGAATACACCATGAACTGATCTGCACAGAATGCACATTCCATCAAGTTGCTCCAATCACCTCTAACTTGTAGTCACGGAGGGAAGCAAGGGGGAAAAGACAGAAAAGAGAGAGCGGTAAACATAAAGAGAAATCTTCTGAGTCCCAGTACTTACTCGTTTGGGTGTGTTTCTTCTATCATTTTCTCGTTTCACCTCAGGTAATGTACCACGGCGGTTGCATACTTTTCGCTTGTCATTCTTTCACCGTGGCTCCTCCGATTCTGTCTCCAATTCCGCATAAATCCCCCCTGCGCCTTTGTGCGAGTGTCGGCTCTTTGCTTGCCTTCGACTGGCTGCGCCTCCGTCTTCTTTACCCCTAAAATTTTCCTCTTTTACCCCCGGAGCCACCCTCTTTCTTCTGGATCGCGAATGCCCGCTTTACTATAACTTTAACACACCATCACCTAGCATGAACGGACAATTTTGTAGCTTAATCCAGCTCCGGTCTTCTATTACACCCCCCCTCCCTGCCCAAACACACACACTCACTCACTCACACTCGCACGCACTCTCTCTCTCACACACACACGGGCGCACAGGGCACACACTCCGTTTTTAAGTCCTAAGGCGCATGTTTTCACCGACGACTCCGGTTCCAGTTGTGCGTAAAAAGCGCGTCGTCGCTGCTGTTACCGAGGGGTGGCCCCGCTAGAGCCCCATCTCTCTCTACTCCATGTTGGATTGCAGGCGGCCGAGAAGCTCCAACGACGCCGGGGCAGGGAGGCGGGAGAGGAGAGGGGGAGGGATAGCAGGAGGAGGGGGCGGAAGCGGTGACGTAGTTTACATTTTAACGGAGGGCCCACGACGGCTGCAAGCCAAAGGGTCTCTTGACAAACGCACTCTCTCGTCTTTATTTCTCGAAAATCCTTCATTTTAAACCTCAATTGTCACCTTTGTGCGCATATGAAATCCTTCACTGGGCACAGTGCAGATAGTTCACAGAAAGGAAACCCCCCCAACTACATTCCAGTGTTAACACCCTTCAACGCAATAAATCAGCCTTTATTATCATCATGATATTACTTATTTAATATTTATTCATAAGATCTAAAAGTATAGATCTCGTTATTAAGCAATATAATAGCACCGAGTTGCTCACAAAAACTCCCAATTTTCGGGGGGGGGGAGAGGCAAAGTTCAGACTTCAGAAACTAACATAATGCCTGATGAATCAAAAAAGATTAAAAGCGATTGCTGGCTAATCTTGTTAACTTTTTAGCACCATATCAGCGAGAGACTATCTGCTAATCTCTTATTGCCTTTGTGCCGTGAACTACTCTGGGGATTGAGGTCTTTAATACCTATTGATTTGCTAAGGTGTGTGTAAGTTAGATGATTAGCCTGTTTTGTTTGCTCTGAGTGCTGCCAGATTTGTGTTCCTGCCCCCAAACAGTTGCCAGTATTGTTTTCAGGTTCATGCCTAGACAAAAAAAAAAAGAAAAAAACAAGAAAAAAACAGAGAGACAGAAAAGAAAAAAAAGTCTTGTTTATTACTGTGGTCGAGTAGCGCCCTCAACTGGTATTTCCTACAGCTTACACATTTGGACTTACTGGTTTTGACCAGTAATAATAATAATGTCATTCTGAGAGTTCACAGGGGACAATGTCAGACCTTGAAGTAAAGCCAAGACATTCCCTCTAAGTTTTCACAGTCTGTGTTCATGCAGTTGATGAAAATATATGTTTCCAAGGATACATTAAGACAAATTTTTCATAATATTTATTTATTAATTTATTTATTTGTTTATGTTTACAGAGGGTAACTCAGTGAGCATTTGCCCTCATATCAGTAATCACGACATACTTTTACAGTAGGTTGCACATGTACTTAGTGTTGTCTTTAGAAACATACTTCTTGATGATGTATTCACAAGGGGTTGTGGGGATATGTGGACTTTTCTCTTAAAAAAATAAAAGAAGCACAGAAATACTATAATAGCTATACCAGTATTCTCCAACACAGTGACGTCTCTGCCAGGGCCAATTTAGCAGAAGCAAGTTTTATTGTATGTAGTAAAACTATGACATGTGCAGCAAGCGTACTGACATTTGTACAAAACAAAGAATGTATGAATGGTTGCATGCGCCAAATATAAACAGTCCATGTGTTCAACACTGACACGGTGTGGTTTGAACGTGTAACTTCCGAATGTAGTCATCCTCCACAGCCCACTGGATGGCTTTGGAAAATGTGAAGGATATACATTTTCAACTTTTAACTGTATTTTCACAACTTTTACAACATTTTCTGTTGACAAAGACCTCCCCATTGGCATTCACGCAACACCAAAGTAATTAAATGGTAGATTTCTGTCATTTCAAACATTTACTTCTTGCAATTTAAGCCCATAGAGTCACGCTGACAAATATTTTTAATTTATTACAGCAGCATTTTATTATCATGTAGAAAAACTGAGACATACTTTTGAAATTGGGCTTATTTTTCTGATATTAGATGTTTAATTGATTATAAGTGTAGTTACATTTCTGTACACTGTGGCCCGCAATATAAAATAAGTTTGACATCCCTAGCTATACAGCTAATAACATTTAACGGGACCCAAAAAGATTAATATGCATATTTGTCAAATTGTCAGTTGCTGTAATGAAATATTATTTACTGTATTAAAAAAAGTCAAGATTTTCCTATAATAGAATGTAAAATGTTATTGAATTATCCAAGACCATGTCCCCATGTTGCAGTTGTAATTAAGAATAGTCTTTGATCCCCTTAAAAGTACAGCCAGTGGGTATAGTGTTTTATACTATGTCTGGTTTCTGTCAGAAGTTATGTTGTTTTTGTGTGCTTGTGCTGTCCTAATATTTGCTTTATATTCCGTATGTACTTCATGCAACAGAAATTTCCCCTTAGGGTGTTAAGGGGTCATTCATCAACAGCTCTCCAGTGTATATAAACAGTAAATGAGTTCTCTCTCTCTCTCACACACACACACACACACACACACACACACACACACACACACACACACACACACACACACACACACACAA